TAATGATTTAAACGTTTAACCAACAAAAAAGTTTACTCATAAAATTCAAAATGTTTGCCACAACTAAAATGAGTTGTTATTTATTTTACTTTCATAAGCTGATAACAATTATAAATAAATTTTATTAGGTTATTAACTAATGATTATTTGGAGGTCGTGAGATGCTGTCTGGTGTGACGTAGGTTTTATAAAAACTGAAAAATGGCAAAAAAGAGGTATAATTCAAAAGGTGGGATTGAGATAGCAAGTTAGTATCCTAGTGGATCGAAGTCACGATAGCTCAAGTGGTAGAGGCGTATCTAGCCGAAGATCTTGGGTTCGAATCCCGCTCGTGCCATCAACTTTTTTATCTCAACTAAAAACCTTTTCTTTATTGTGTTTCACTCACTTTATTGAGAGTGAAAGTTCTTAACACGACAGACAATGACACAACTACACGGAAAACGAACACTTTGAGCCGTGAAGATGATCTGAACAAAGATCGAAACGTTGGGACGATAATGGAAATGTTTTTCTAAACCTACGTCACACCACACCGCATCTCACGACCTCCAAATAATCATTAAGTAACGGTCACTAAAAACCAAACACACACACACTTTATTAAATAATTCAATTCACTAGTTTCGTGGTCGGCTTTATATTACAATTAATTAAGATTTTCAGTTGAGTTAAAAAAGTCAATGGCACGAGCGGGATTCGAACCCACGATCTTTGGCTTGATACCACACCTTTTGAATTTTCCCTCCTTTTTGCCAGGTGGGAAGTTGAGGCCATTAACTCGAGCCATTGACTTTTTTATCTCAACTGAAAACCTTAATTAATTGTAATTTATTAACTAAACTAAATTGTAACTCAATTTAAATAAAAGTTGATTGTGTAGTGGTTTGGCGAATCAGTAACATTTTCAACTACTACTTTAAATTTTTAACAAACTCCTTTCTGAGTGACTACCTATTTACTCGTAAACAGCTTTTTACAGATAATGATACGAACTTTTAACTGATTAGTAATTGAACTAACCTCAGGCTTGGTACTCTTAAATTATTCACTGACTAGTTAAAATTTTTTTACAAATAGCTCTGCTTAAAATTACTGATTACCTGGCTAAATAATTTTTTCGATGCTACTAATGAAACAAATTTTAAATTGATATTTCAAAATACTTCAAAATTTACACTAGTTAATAAAATTATTGACATATATCTAGTTATTCATTTTACATAAATAACTCACATGTTTAATAATCTTTGATAGGTTACCAATGAAACGAACCAATAACTGATTGGTAATTTAACGAACCGTTGCCTCGTTAATAGTTCATTCACACTGACAAATAACACAGGTTCTCTGTTTCTTTTTTGGAGGAAATATGATTGTTTTATTACATACATTATTGACTGTTTTGCGTACATAGCGAGTGTTGAACGTGAATGTATATATTGGCGTGAATGTGTAGTATAAGAGTGCTGATTGCGGAATATTGAGCTACCCGAGGACTTCCAATTAGGTTAGTAATATAATAGGTGTAAAGGGCGATGTAGGAATATCGAGTACTTCACCACCCTCAGTGAATGGATTGTAAATTGTATAGAATGTATTTAAGAATGAGAAAATTGGGTTTAGATTTAAGAACTGGTTGGGTGTTGAAATGACCTAACTGTTTTTAACCCTCAGACTCCAACCTCGTTGGCTGCATGGATAAGACCGAGGACTGACCCTGGTCTACCATACCCGTGGGTGTCTGTAATTCATTGAAAAATGTAAAATCTGGAATTGCCAATAGACTGCAAGAAACGTTAGGCTCAACTATGAACATGCTCGTGCAGATTTGAGCTAATATTAATCAGTAATCAGCAATATTTTCAGGTTAATAATGAAATATTTCTCTTATTCGTAGACTGTTCAAATAAACAACTTTTTTTTACGAGGGTTAGCAACAACAAACCTCAGGGTGCCGGGTTTTTGAAAAAAAGCCCATTTGTAAGTATGTCGGGGTTCGAATGCAGGACTGCTGGATTCGAACCCGGGACCTTACAGTGATGAGCGCCGTGTCAACGCCTAAACCGTTGCGGCCACCGACGCCCCTAAATAAACAACTTGCAAATCTAGAACATAGGAACACGAACGACCAAAAATAAATAATTCAAAGTCTGTGAACAAATAACAATCAATCGATCGGCAAAAGAACTGTCATCACTTAATTTCTAAACTCGTTTCGATACCGTTCAACTGCCACATGAGGGCGGCGTTCATAAATTAAGGATTCAACACGACTGAAAGAAAATGCTAACCGACTGCATTTTCATGTCGCATGCAACATTCCTCCGTTGGAGAATGTTTTTCAGAAAAAGGGGGTCTTGATGAAAATAATAACTAATTTGGGAAAATTAGAAATCGAATAGAACTTTCTTTTAGCAAACACGAATTTTCAACAAAAACATTTTCAATTGATTTGGACATAAATGTAAATTTGTAAAGTAAATTGAAATATCAAAATCGCGTTTACCTCCGTTGAAAATAAAATGAATGCGATAAACAAGGGAAAGGATAAACTTTCAGTCTGGTTTATATTAATTTTTAATCCAAAAACCTATCCTTTGGTTATTTCGCATTTTTTATATAATTAACACTATGTTTATATTTTCCAAATCTTTGTATTAAACTTACGAAAAATCATTATTTTAAAAGTATTAAATTTATATTTTTAATATTTTATTTTCAGCGACATGCCTTTTTATGTCTTTTACCTCTATTTCAGAGTTTACGTTGAAAAAAAAAGCTTTGGAAATTAATTACATTCGTGCCAAACTATGTCTTTTTATACGTTTTACCCTTATTTCAGCGTTTAGGTTGAACTTTTTTAAAATTCTGTCTTTATATATTTTTAAATTAAGACATTTACACTATCCATAAAAAATATTAAAAAAATAAAGGAGAAGGAGGACAAATGTTGGGTTATCCGCGAGGAGATTTCTGGGACGAACTGGTTCTGTTTCTCAGAGGGCTTAATGAGACTTAATTTTTTTCAAAGTCGTCAAAAGAATTTAAAAAATGTAAAAAAAGGGCCAACTTTGGAATAGCATATTTTCTCAGCCTTTTAAGTATCAGACCCGGGCTAGATTAAATTTTTTAGAAAATGTTACGCCGAACAAGTTGACTTTTTTAAATGTTTGCCTGGGTTCAGTCGTTCATCAGTAAATTCAAAAATTCTGGAACATGTCAATTTTTGCATTTTTTACGACAAATTCAAATTGAGCTGGAACCAGGAAATCCGTACGTACATGGAACGGCGCTCTTTAGCAATAGATAGGAAAGCTTTCAATTGGTCACCTTGCACTTTGCCAGATTTCACAATTGTTTTCGAGTCATTCCCGATTTTTGCAATGAATTATTTTCGAGCGAAACTATACCTTTTTATATATTTTACCCCCGTTTCAGAGTTTAAATTGATCATTTTTTAAAGATCGGTTCTTATTTTTTTAAATTTTTTTTAAAATTAATACATTCACACTATCCATTTAAAAAAAATCCTAACTCAAGCAGAAAAGTGGGAAATTTTGGATTATCCGCTAGGAATTTTCTTGGACGAACTGGTTCTATTTCTCACAGGGTTTAGTGAGACTTAAACTTTTCAAGGTAGTCAAAAAAATTTAAAACATTTAAACAAAATGTCCAACTTTGGAAACGCATATTTTCTCATTTTTTGGAAGTATCAGACCTGCGCTAGGTCAAATGTTTTAGAAAATTTTACGCTGAACAAGTTGGCTTTTTTAAATGTTTTTTTAGGTTCAGTCAGTCATCAGCCAATTCAAAAATTCGGGAACATGTCAATTTTTACATTTTTTACGAAAATTTCAAATTAAGCTGGAACAGGTAAATCGTACTTGGAGCGGCGCTTTTTAGCAGTCGATAGGAAACTTTAATAAGCTTTCTATTGGTCACCTTCCACTTTTCAAGATTTCACAACTGTTTTCGAGGTTTCGCAATTTTAGGGCAAAAATAGTTATATATTGTAGTATTTTACATGCTCATGAAAAAAAACCGATCACTCCCACCCACTCGATTTTCAAGAATGTAAAATTTTTGAATTTTCAAATTTAAGTAAATTTTACGCTCTAAAACTTTTGTTCGAGGACTTTTTCAACAAATTGTCCTGTGAAGGGACAATTCTCACTTTTTCTTACTTTGGCTTTTGGTTTGAGAATTACTTCTGCTGTTGATAATACTTGTTTACATCATCACGTAAATCCACATTTTTCATCCCATTTCACAGTTGTTGTGGCAGTTTGGCTTAGAATAACGTATTGAAACAAAAGTTTTGTGGTAAAATCGGGACAGATAGAGATCGGGTTGTTCTATGAGCGGAAACGATTGAGAAATCGGGCAAAGTTTCAGGTTTTTTAAAATTTCCTATTGATTGCAAAAGGGCGTAGCTCCAGGGCGATTTCCTGGCTCCACAGATCAATTTGAAGTTTTCGTAAAAACTGTAAAAATTGATACGTTACAGAATTTTTGAATTTACTGATGAACGACTGAAGCTAGGAACACATTTAAAAAATATTAACAAGACACCTTGTTCAGCGAAAAATTTTCTAAAAAATGAGACACATCGCAGATCTGTGACTTAAAAGTTTGTGAAAATTTGCATTTCCAAAGTTGACAATTTTTTTCGTGCAAAAACCAAGTGGTCGGTTTTTATGGACAATGTAGTTAGAATTGTGTTCATTTTGTGTATGTTGCTTTGTGAGTTTTTTTTGTTATAAAAATGGAAAGGGGATGTGGTTGCGGCTTGATGAATTTTGACAGGCCTACTAGGGAGAAAAAAATGACGCCAATTCTGCCTTCATCTCCATGTAAGTCAATCGTAAAGGGGTGCAAGAAAAGGCTTCGGCCTGGAGGCGGCAAACGGGGCTTTAATTCAGCGAAGGGGGTTGCGGTAGGTTGCGCTGACTCCGAGCCCGCCGCCTCTCCAGTCTTCACCCGGCTTCCCTGGCATCGCCACGCCGCTCCCTTTTCGCTGAATCACGTGCTTCGCAGTGCCAATTTTGTGTTTGTGCTCAAGAAAGACTGAACGGAACGGACCCACGGGCTGATTCGGATCGGTGAGTGAATTTTTATCCGGATAAAATTCCGTCTGGTTTCATTTTTTCAAAAATCCTCTTACTCCCGCAAAATATTTTTTTTCTTCAAAATTATCAGATATTGTTAAACAAATTTATACAAATCGAATAATATTACTGGCACCACTAACCTATTTATAATATACAATTAATAAACCTATAACTTTATCGTTGGACAAAAATGTTATCGACATTTATTTCAACATATTTAGAAATTAATTAATCTTTTTATCTAAGATCTTGGTTGACATGAAAAAGTTAGTGTCACGAGCAGGATTCGAACCCACGACCTTTGCCTTCGAATCCCGGTCGTGTCACTAACTTTTTCATTTCAACCAAGACTTTACGTAAAAAGATTAATTAATTGACAAAAGTAATTTGGCCAATGAGACTACTAATTAAATATATTCAGAAATGAATCGCTCAATAAATAGCTTTCTAAGCTAAAATTTTTTGCGATAAATAATAATTTTCGAGGAAATTTTATTATGGACAATAATATATCATGTACTTGGTGATTTTTTCACAAACAAATAATGACAAAAAGACTATGAAATTTAACGAGATTTTGACATTGAAAAATAATTTTCTATGGAAATTTTAATATGTTCCATTTTTTCAATTAAAAAAAAACTACATGATTGTTATATAAAATATACATGCTTTTATCTTAGCACATCTATTGCAATCTATTATTCCGAAGATATTCATAATATATTTAAGACCTTAAAAAATATTTTATAACAAATAATAAAAAGATTTTAAAAGGAAATTTGGTTATTCCATATTTTATTGTAAAAAAACTTAAAATTCAAAATGAAATTTGGGCAAAAAAGCACAAAATTTTAATTTCTATGGTAAAAAATTTAAATTATTCAATGGAAATTATTTTTTTAATAAAACAACCTAACTTTTTTTAAAATCAGCTTTATTATGGATAATTCACTGTCAATAAATATCTCAAAACATAGAAAAATACCATTTGACAATTCCTTTTTGTCAGACTTGTTAAAAGCCGTATTCAGTTATTTTAGACAATAGAAAAATTCAATTAATCATTTTAATTTTTAAATTTATTATTTTTGTGATCTAAGGTCTTCGCTGAGATGAGAGTCGTAGTGTCACGAGCGGGATTCGAACCGAGTACCTTCGGCTCAATACCGCCGCTGCTTTAACCAATTATGCTATCGTGATTTCAAACTTCAAGACCTTAGATGAAAAGAATAATTAATATGGTCAATTATGACCGCTAAACCTATATGAATTTATTTTTAAACTTTAATTTATTGCGAGTGTGGGATTTATCCATGAGTGTTTCAAACAATAAGTTTTTGTTTTTTTTGCAATGTTTCGAGCATCTTAGTACTGTTTATCAAGGTGGCCAAACGACAGAATTTTACAATTTGACACGTAAAAATATTTTTCTATTTTATTTTAAAACAAACCTTTTACAAATGTTACAGTCTCTTTGCCTTCATACTTTAAAATAAAATTCATTGTGTTTTATAAATATGAATATTCAAAAAATTCTGAAACGTTAGAAAAAAGCTAATGGATAATGATCTATGTTTTTATTTTAAATGATTTTACCTATTTAAAACATTTTCATTAATGAGAAAATCAATCTTGTACGATCTGCATTTTTTCGTTTTGATGTTGTTGATGACGATGATGATGATGAATGGGGACTAGGAATTTGAAGCTTTTATTCTCCAGAATTGTAGCTTTCTTGATTTTTTATTTTATTTTCCCAGTTTCTTAGTTCTGTCTGTCGACTCTTTTTTTAAGAAGAACAAGATCATTGACTTGTTACAATTTCTTTCGTGGATCCCACGTTATGATGATCACATTCGAAGTTGATATGGGAGGCTGTTTCTTCCTCCTCATCGCATATTCTGCAAATGGTATCATCGTTGAACATGCCCATGTTATATAGATGTTTTCTCAGATGCTAGTGACCGGTTAATAGTCCCTTTTCTGTTCTGAGTCTGACCCGCTCCAATTGCACCAGTGAGTTTGCCAGTCTTGGTAAGGGTTGTTTTAGCATAAATTTACTGAGTCAAGCACCTCTAGAGTTTATTCACTTCTCCGTTTGTCTTTTTTAGATCCTTTCGTTTGTTTTTCTTACCCCAAAAATATTTTCACGGCCAGGATCTCCTCCTGTGGCTATTATGTCCGCCTTTTCGTTACCGAAATTCCGATGTATCCAAGATTTCATTTCAATTTTTTCTAAAAAAGAAACTGACTTGAGAATTTGAAGTAAGTTTATCAGAAATAGCAGTATCTAATTTTTCCAAATATTTTCTAAAAAATAAATAAATACAGAATAAAATATGAAATAAAAATGATTGGGTTGTTAACTGAAATCATCCCTTTTTTTTCAAAAAAACCTAAAACTAATAAATAGAGTTGTTAGTCTTCCTGACAAAGATGATTAGACATACAGAATAGTAAATATTTTTAAATTATTCACAATAAATTGAGATTCTAACAATATTATAAAAGAATTGTGATATAAAAATATACAAAATCTAAACAAAATTAAACAATTTCATTCACTAATTTCGTGGTCCGCTTGACCAATTAATATATTATAATTAATTAAGGTTTTTAAACATTAAATATAATTTAAAATTTGCAAGAAAATACTAATAACCCAGGTCAGATCGTAAAGACTGAAAATAGCAAAACACAAGTTGAAAATAATATTAAGTAATTCTCTTCATTTACTTATATTAACAATATATAAAAAAATATTCAAATTTATTTTAAACATCGTTTTATTATTATTTTGTTATAAATAAAATTATGTTCTAAAAAATTAAACCTCAAACCAAAATAAATAGTTTCTTACCCCCCCCCCAAAGAAAAAATTCTAAAAAGTAACCTATAAATTATATAATTTTTCACTTAATTACAATGGATGTGATATAATGTATATTGGTCAAACAAAAAATACTGGCAGCGGGTAAAAGAACCATGGCAATGATTTGAAGATACAATAAAAAAATAACTCAGCCATTTTCTAATATACAAATAGCTCAAAATTTAAACATTTTATTTTCTTTATAGTGCCAACGTTTCGATCTTTATTGAGATCATCATCATCATCATCTGTTGAGAGTGCCCAAACTCACGACACGCAAGAATGGCACAATTACGCAGAAAACAAACACTTTGAGCCTTGAAGATGATGTCAATAAAGATCGTAACGTTGGTACAATAAAAAAATGTTTTTCTGAAACGTACGTCACACCAGAACGCATCTCACGATTTCCGAATGATCATCAACTAACGGTCACTAATCACCACACATACACCCAATTTAAAACTGCACATTTTGAATTTTGAACAAAATCCTTTTAAAAGAGAAATCTTGGAATTCATGTATGTTACCAAAATAGGAAAAAAACTTAAATAAAATAATGTAATTACCCCCACCTATCTCGCTATTATATTCCGATATTAAAAAAAATTATTTTTTTAAATGTAAAATCGTGGTTAAGATGAAAAGGTTAGCGTCACGAGCGGTATTCGAACCCACGATCTTCGGCTGTGGAGTGGATCGAAGTCACGATAGCTCAACTGATTAGAACTCGAAGTATTTAGCGCCGTAGAAGGTGGGTTCGAATCCCGCTGGTAACACTAAATTTTTCATCTCAACCAAGACTACACAAAAAGAATAATTCATTCAAAGAAGTAATTTGGTCAAGTAGACCAATAACATAATGGACTTATAAAAATAATTTTTAAAATTTATAAAAATTAATTTAAAAAATATATAAATTAAACAATCCAATATTTTAAATTTCGGCGCAAACTCTCAACATAAATGACGATTTTGAAAAAACTTCCTTAATGTAAAATAAAAAGTATACAAATAAAATAATCTCAAATAAATAAAAATTGTTATGAAAAATGCATAAGATAAAAGATAGTAAAAATAAACGATCAAATTAAATTTAAAAAAATGATTTCACAACTGTGCATTTGAAAAACAATAGGTCATTTTTACCATTTTGGCCAAAAAAGGAATTTTTTTTAAATATACAAAATATATAAGTACAAAAATGTATATATAAATATAAATTACTGATGATCTTTTAGAATACAAGATGGCTATAAATAAATTGTAAATTTAATACAATATAACAGAACCTATTAATAATATGTTCTAAAATATGAATGAAAATATTATACTTATGTCTTTTTATAAAAAAGGGTGGGTGCTCATGAAGAGTGTAAATTCCAAAAACGAGAAATAAACGTAAATAAATAATTTATTTGTTGTTATTTAAAAAAATAAAATGTTTTTTAACATTAACTAAACAATTTAGTAATTCGTCTTAAAAATTCCACGATTTTAATAAAACAACTTTAAAAGAAAAAAAAATCCTTCGCAAAAAAATGTATTTTAATTTAATGTCATTTTAAAACTGACGAACTATACTCCTACCGAAATTTCGAACTTATAAAAAAATGTGTAGAGATTAGTGACCGTTAATCGATAGTTATTCAGATATCGTGAGATGTGGTCGGGTGTGATGTAGGTTTCAGAAAAACATTTTCTTTATCGTGCCAACGTTTCGATCTTTTATTGAGATCATCTTCAGGGCTCAAAGTGTTTGTCTTCTGTGTAATTGTGCCATCCTTGCGTGTCGTGTTGAGAGGGCCCAACGTTGGCACGATAAAGAAAATGTTTTTCTGAAACCTACATCACACCCGACCGCATCTCACGATATCTGAATAATAAAAAAAAAAAATTCAAAATACTTGTTTATATTTTCATTTAGTTTTACAACTGTACTCCTACTGAAATTTCAAACTTATAAAAATTTTTTCAAAATACATGTTTATATTTTCATTTAGTTTTACAAACTAAATTTTCATCTACAAAGAAAAGTCTACTAAAAAAATAAACATTTTGTGAAAATTTATTGACTTAGAGAGCAATAGTTTTTCTTTAGTAAATTAAAAATTTT